CATTCAACTGATTTGGGAAAAAATAAAAAATAAATAAATAGTCAATTAAAAGTAACTGAAGAAACGTGCTCTACATACGAATTAATGAATTATCATAGAGACAGAGCTCGGACATGAGTTTTTTATTTTTATTTTTTATTTTATATATATATTTTTTAAATTGTTACTAGACTTATTGTGCATGCACATATTGAAGAATAGAAAAACGACATAGCTACTTTCTAAAAGTCGTTGATGTTATTCTTGAAAATGAAGTGAATTAAATCCATCCATTTATGTGGCCTACCAAGCATTATAATAACATTTCTTCTAGAATATTTGAAACTAAGTTAAATTAATTTTTAAGTTATTAATATTATTAAACATAATTTTTGAAACTACATATTTATATGATATTAAAGGTTAAATTAAGCCCCGCATTTCTCTTTTTTAATTTTCATTATCGAACAAATATGGCATCACCAAATCCTTCATCAGGGCACGTTCCATATAAAAAAGAGATAATTCCATATAAAAAGGAGATGATTGTTCTTCTTCGTTCTTCGGTCTTTTTATTTTATTTATGTTGTGTATGGAAAATTTGTCTTGTGAACAAATTTAAGGATTTTTTTTTTGGGGGCAAATAACACGAATAAAGACGAAAATTGTATGTATTCATTGAAGGGTTGTTAAATGTCACAAATAACAAAGAGAAGTTCAAAACTATTCAAACATTAAAGGCCGCACACATAATTTAGCCTTTTCTTAAAAAATAATAATAATAATAATAAAAATAAAAATTATCAGAAAATGGAAGGAAAAAGAAAAACTTTTTCTAGTTAATAAAATTGAAATAGGCTTGAAAATCATGATATGCTACTGGCTTTAACTACTGATAAGTGATAACTACGTAGCAAATCTGCCCCCCTCAAATGAAAAAGATGCTAAAGTTCCTCCCTCGTTTTCCTTTTGTAACACCATTAAGCAAACAAATTGCTCAAGCATCAGTTGATTTTGTTTGGTAATCTAAAATTGTAAATTGTTTGGCAATCTAAAATTGTAAAGGAGAAAGACTTCATGAAACAACATAAGAACATTGAAGAACAGGACAAAATTCTAATTAACAACCTTCAAAGCACAAAGTTTACATTTTTTAAAATGATAATAATGAGCTTGATGTAAAAGATATGGTACTCTGAAAAATTATTTTTCAAAAAACTGTCAATCAAATAATATCATTTCATAAAAAACTTTAAACACCATCAAACATATTACCGACTAGAAAAAAATGAGATGCAATTCATGTCATCCCTTACCAATGAACTTAATAGATATTTCTTCTTCAAAACTAGAAGATAAATGGCAACTGCTCTTAGAAATGCCATATCTGTATAATAAAGAAAGGTGAAGAAACGGCGCAGTGGATATAATGACAGGATCACTGCTGTTAGAGATGCTATTCTTCTGTTGTACGAACGATTGCAATCATTTCAAGTGGCTCGATGAAAAATGAATAATGTCAATTTAAGGTCAATCAAGCGCTATATCGAAAATTCATGAGTTATCGGGTTTGTTGAAGCGCATTGCTAAAATAATCGGAGAAAAGGACGTGGATATCTCTATCAAATTTTCTTGCACATCTCCACATCTTCCATGCCACATTTCTGCTAATATTTGTGCAGAGATCCTTCTTCAATCGTGCCAAAATAAGCTTGGTCTTCCAATCCTAGTTCGCCTTGAATTGCTCAATATATCGACGTGTCAAAAATATGTAATTGCAGTGTTTATTAAATTGGTCTCCACTATAGGTATGATCTAAAGTGTAAGATTTCACTAGCAACCTCTTTGGGGCATCGAATTTAGAAGCCCATGTTTTCCATTGCAGTCTAGTTTACAAATTTCTTGCACTCTTCTTTCCAAGTTTGCCTTAAACTTTACATTGTACCCGTTCAACGCACCATACGTTTGGACTGCCTCTCAAAACTTTGTTGCGGAAATGAATATATTGATAGGGGTCTTTCTGTAATTTTAAATAAAGAAGAAGGAAGAATAGATTCAGAAAAAGGAACAAAATAGTTGAAATATTTTAAAGATAGAATTGTAACTGATACTAAATTTCAAATAATTAGTAAAAAATGGTTTACCCCTACATGTCCAGTCAACTGCTGCGCCTCAACGCATTTTTTGGAAAACCAACTAGCTCTGTGGAATAAGCTTCCTCATTCAATAACACATATCCCTGCCTGTCTTCACCCACTTCCTCGGTTTGAGAAAGGAGAATATGGACAAAATAAACTCAAAAAAATAGAATTGCATAACCCTACCTCGAACCGAGGATTTTTCATGTTCGGATCAAAAGTGAATTCAAGATAGTGATAACTCCCATCCTCATCGGATGAACATTGGGAGAGTAGTTCTTTTGACGACAGTAGTTCCAATTCATCCTTCTTGTTATCATTGCCCTCTTCTTGTTTTCCCTATACTTCATTGTCATGGCTGCCCGATCCAATTTCAATTTCACTACTTACGTTTCTATCATATTTGATGTCGTCTTTGTTGGACTCAAAGTCGTGGTGAATGTTAGAGAAGTGTCAGTCAAATTAGGCTTTACAACAAGAATAGAATTAAGAAATGCCGTTAAAAATGGACACAAATATTTACGTAGTTCACCCAATTTAGACTACGTCCACAGGCAAGTATATGTGGATTTCACTATAGTAGGAGAATTACAACACACACTCTAAATATAAGGAGATAATAATAATTAATCTCTCTTGTAATAGGAGAAAATAAGTAGGAAATAATCAGGAGAAAACAATAATTTCTCTCTATAATTTTTTCTCTCTACTCACAACTTTTTCTCTCTACTCAATTTTTTCTCTTTCAAATTTTCCTTTCTACACGGCTTTTTTTGTTTCTTCATCCTACCCTTCTATTTATAAGGAAATTCCACTACCCTGTTCACTTCAAAAAGTCAAGAAAAATGGTTGTCAACTCTCTACAAATTTTAGCTGGAAAAGGAAAATTCAATTTGCCCACCTCTTTTGCATTCAATGCATGCATGTACCTTAATTGTAAAGTGACAACCTTAATTGTTAAGAAAAGTGACTTTATCCATTTTGGTCAACAATTGTGCCTTTATCCATTCTTAGGGTATGTTGATGGAGTCAAGGGGTACCGTTTGTGGGATCCCACTGCCCACAAGGTAATAATCAGCTGAGATGTGATATTTGTAGAAGGCAGGGAATGGAAAAAGAAAATGATAGCACATCAAAAGAAAAATCAAAATCTACTAAAGTCGAAGTTGAAGACGAACGAGAAGTTATAGACTCTTCTGAAGCAACACTAGAACACGAAGAACAAGAACAAGCTAAGTCTAGTGCTCCAGAAGTTCGATGATCAACACGGGAGAGAAGAGAACCAGCTTGGCACTCAAATTACATTATGGAAGGCAATGTTGCATACTACTTATTGATAAAAGAAGGAGAGCCATCAACTTTCCATGAGACCATAAATAGCCAAGAAGTCTCTCTGTGGATAACAGCAATGTAAGAAGAAATTGAAGCTCTTAATAAGAACAAGACATGGGATATTGTTCCACTACCACAAGAAATGAAGGCCATTGGGAATAAATGGGTCTACAAGATCAAACGAGATGACAATGATTAAGTAGAGCGGTATTGTGCGAGACTGGTGATGAAGGGATATGCTCAGAAAGAAGGCATCGACTTTAAAGAAATATTTTCTCATGTGGTACGACTCACAACAATTCGAGTAGCCTTGGCGATGTGTGCTACATTTGACTTACACCTAGAGCAATTGGATATGAAAACTGCATTTCTTCATGGAAAACTTGAAGAAGAGATTTATATGCACCAACCAAAATGTCTCGAAGAAAAAAGAAAAGAAAACTTGGTTTGCACATTGAACAAATCTCTATACAGTCTCAAATAGGTGCCGAGATGTTGATATAAGAGATTTGATACCTTTACCATGAGCCTTGAATACAATAGACTTAGATCAGATCCATGTGCATACTACATGAGATTTGGAGATAATAATTTCATTATTCTGCTATTGTACATTGGCGACATGTTGGTAGCAAGCCCCAACAAAGATCGTATTAAAGATTTGAAGGCACGGTTGACTAGAGAGTTTGAAATGAAGGACTTGGGACCAGCAAACAAGATTCTAGGTATGCAAATTTACTGAGACAGAAATAATAGGAAGATTCGACTTAGTCAGAAGAATTACTTGAAGAAAATCTCGTGTCGCTTCAATGTGTAAGATTGTAAGCAATTTCTACCCCACTTCATTAATTTCAAGTTGTCTTCAAGTATGAGTCCTAGCAATGAAGCAGAGAGGAAGGAGATATCTCGAGTACCGTATGCATCAGTAGTGGGTAGCTTGATGTTCGCTATGATTTGTACAAGACCGGACATTGCACAAGTAGTGGGAACGGTTAGTCGATACAAGGCAAATCCTGATAAAGAGCATGGAGTGCTGTAAAGAGGATCCTGCGATATATCAAGAGTACCTCAAATGCTACATTATGTTACGAAGAATCGGACTTTATTGTCAGAGTCTATGTTGATTTAGATTCTACAGGTGATCTTGACAAAAGTAAATCCACCACATGTTATATTGTTACTCTTGTTGGGGGAGTTGTAAGCTGGGTTTCAAAACTGTAGTGCATCGTGTCTACTTCTATAACAAGGGCAGAATACGCGACAGCTACACAAGCTAGTAAAGAGACAATCTGGTTGCACATGTTAATGGAGGAGCTTGGACACAAACAAGAGAAGATTACTCTAATTTATGATAGTCGGAGCACTTTGCACTTGGCAAAGAGTCTTAACATTTCATCAAATGACAAAGCACATTCGAGTTCAATATCCCTTTGTTCGAGAGAAGGTGGAAGAAAGAAGTGTGGATATACAGAAAATCCATAAAGTAGACAACCTAGCAGATATGTTGACAAAGCCAAATTAGTATTGACAAGTTCATATGGTATCGATCATCCATCGACCTAGCAGAAACATAAGTAGCATAGAAATGGCAAGTATCGGAAGGATGAAGTGGTCAACAAAAGTGACTTTAAGTGAAAGAAATGTTGGTCGGTAAAGCCACAATTGTTGACTAAAATGGATAAAACCACTTTACTTAACAATTAAGGTTGCCACTTTAGTACATGCATGCATTCAATGCAAAGAGGTGGGCAAATTGGATTTCCCTTTTCCAGCCACACTTGACAGCCTTGTAGAGAGTTGATGGCCTTAATTGTTAAGTAAAGTGGCTTTATCCATTTTGGTCATCAATTCAGCCAACAGTGAATTCTATAAAGTTCAGATCTTCCTCACAACCTGTCATACAATTAAACAACATTCAGCTAGTGTATGAAGTTCAAGCTTTAACATTGTATATTAGATAGATGCTGTAACAACTTAACTGATATTACTATACAGTAAATGCAAGAAATTCATTCAATGCATCTCTTTCAACCCAGAAATAATAATGGCAGAAAAAAGGCGAGGTAAACTGGAACTAAATCAAAAAACATATGATTCAGGACGATACATATGATTGATGACAGAAAAACAAAAAATAAATATAGAACAAGAAACTGCGGCCATTTAACAGACATCTTAGTGGGAAATGACTAACAAGAAATACTCATTGAAGCAACTACAAAATTTTCAGAAACAGGAAACTAAGTTTATCTATTACGTCTATGAACTCTTCGTACCAAAATAAAAATAAAAAATAAAAAAGGAAAGAAAAGAAAAGAAAAAGTTTGAGATTTACCTTCGTATTGTCCGTCCTTCGGAATGGGTGTGATTCTTCACCGCTTGGGTTGGGCCCTTTGCATAGACAACAACGATGGAAAGGACCTTGATTTCGGGATCGGGTTACCGATTGTCAATTTATTCGCTTTGGCATATTTAGGGTTTCGATTTCGATGAGGGAAATTTCAGGAAAAGAAACTGATTTTCTTCTTTCCCTTTCTGAATGATTGCAATTCGGGTTATGTTTAATCAAAGAGAAAGGCGTGTTTGCGTTTTGTTTTATGTTAAGAGTGAAAGGCGTGCAATTACAACGGCAAAGGCGTGTGAATTACGTTGACGTGGTCAATGATTTGGCAAAACAATTAACACTTGTAAGGCTTAAAACCTGCCAGCTAGACTTTTCGTCTATCGCAAAGACACGCCAGTTAACAAATCTGAGCCGGTTCAACGTCATCTTATTATTTAACATGAATTAATGAAATGAAAATACTCCTCTGTATGCTAATTGTTAAGTACGCATTATTAGATAAAACAAGAGATAAGATAATGAATAATAATTCAAATTTTTCTTCTTGATATTGTCCATTAATATTCAATCTCTTTCGACCCATTATTAATGATTTTTAATTACTTAATCTCTTTTTTTCCTTATATATTAATTCTTATTATATGCCGTATTAATTTTAATTAAATAAATCAGTAACATTTCCGGATGCTGCTGTTGAGAATGCAGGGGGAGTAAAAGGTTTCACATGGTGTATTTGGATTTAAATCAAAATCCAAATACGTATACAGACATCTGGATATGTATGTACATAGAGTACAATGAAACAGGGAAAAAAAAAATTAAGGTCGTGGTTGGTTTGCCGTTTTCGGCCCATTTTACGTTTTTCGTTTTCGAAAAAGTGGAAAACGCATTTGGTCCGTCGTTTTCGAAAGCGCATTTTATAAAATGAGTTAAATTTATAATTGAAAATGCAAAACGACTTTTTATCATTTTCAGCATTTTTAGTTTTAAATGTCGAAAACGCTCAAAACGGCCGTTTTCGAGGAAAACTAAAAATCGTTTTGAAAATGAAAATGGAACCAATCGCACCCTGAATAATTCGGATACGTACATAGAGTAGGTGCTTAGCCACGTTAGTGTTTCAATTTGGGCATTTCGTTCCGTTTAATTTCTGGGAACACTAACATGACAAAGGAAAATAATAATGCGACCTGATTAACTTTTCCCGTATTATTTTTTATCTTCAAAGTAGTCTACAAATATGCATTGTTAGATAAATTATGCTTTTGAAATGTGTTCTCATAACCAATAATAATAATAATAATAATAATAATAATAATAATAATAATAAAAAGAAAGAAAAGAGAAAAAATCAAGATTTTTTCAACATGACCGATTTGGTCTGGTTAACCGATAAAAGTATTACACCGTTAAATTATACAAATTGACAAATATGACTGAAATAAAATAAAAGCTTGATTAGTACCTTGAATGAGGAAAAGTCAAGTGATTAAAGGTGCATGTTTGGCAAAGTTTAAATTATAAATTAAGTTGATTTAATATATTTTTTATCTACAAATTTTGTGAGATCCAATAAAATAATATGACGATATTATGAGAAGATTAAAGGCATGTTTGGTACTGATAATGAGAATCAATTTTTTGATCTTTCAAAAGAAAATGGAATCTCATCTGTGAGTGTAGAAGTCAAAAAATGACGACTGACTATATTAAATAACGATCAAAAAAATTAATTTTTTGGCTTGAAAAATTAGAATCAAACGGTGGCCCGGGGGTGATAGGTTAACATCATTGGTTGTTTGCATCAGTTGCCTTTGTAAAATTAAAACGCTGATATGGAACAGCCCATATGGTTATGCGGATTGTGTGCGTGTCTTTGTGTGAGACAGAAAGAGATGTTACCCAAGGATCCAATGTTCTCTCTCTCTCTCCTCTCTATTATTTACAAGGTTACGACACCATAAACGTGAGTCACAAATAGTCTTCAAACTTTGAAATGTCCATTTTTAATAATTAAAACTTTGATCATTTATCCCATTTTTTATATTTCAAGTTAGTGAACAACGGAATTATTGACTAAAATTTAATAATTTGAGATCAAAAGGGAAATTATATCCCACTAAAGGTCAAATAAGCATTTAAATTTTAAGATTGACTTTACAAACAAACAAACAACCTTCTTGTGAGGAAATTCTTTCCTTGGTGAGAAGGGATCGTATTACACTTGACAATGCAATTTTCAAAATGGGTTAGCAAGAAAGGCAGCCTCGACGGAAACATTAACTTCTTGTCTGGCAATTTAAATTGGTCAAACTTAATTTTTAATCATAATTTTATTAAACTTACAATTTTTATCCACCTTGTATTCACACGTTTCACGAGATTCATTAGATTATAATCTTAAAAAGGCTAATTAACCTATATGGGATTTTGAACTAGATTGAGGTCTTAATTCAAACATAATAACCCATTATTTGTCTTTCTTCTTCCTCTTATGAATAAAAAACCACAAAAATGTAAAGAAGTTTCGACCCTGAAAAGTCACTTAAGGCAATGCACGTAAGCTTTTCTTAACAAAAATTCTCTCTTCCTTGCTTTCTCAAGTCTCCCTCTCTCACTAAAAAGTTTAGAAACTGATCAATTTCAATACTAAATGTCAAATAAAGAGTTTTCCCTCGTCAAAGAAGAAGAAAAAGAGATCAAAGTCGAGAGTTCATCGCAACCTAAGCTGGAAAATCTAGGTTCTCGTGAAGAACATGATACAGAAAAGGGACAAGAACAAGAAGAACAAGAAAAAGATTGTGAAGCCTCAATTTCTTCATCAAGAGAAGAATCAGAAAATCCATGTTTAGGGAAATCCCAATTAGCAGAATCCGATGATGGATTCAAAACTCCAACATCTTTGGATCACAAAATCCCAGTGATCGAACAGTGCCCACCAGCACCCAAAAAAACCAGGCCACAACCCTCAACTTCAACAAAACGAAAAGCATCCCCAAGAACCCTCCAATTTGATATCGCTACAGAGGTTGAATCGATGTTTACTGCAAGTTCTCACGACGACGATGATGTAGACCAGAAAATGAAGAAAACTCGACAAGATGAAGAATGATATAAATCTTGGGAAAGCCATATCTCGAAAGCTAGCTATTGAAGTTAGAGAGCTTAAGTCTATATAAACCACACTTCGAAAGTTCATACTTTCGATGTGGAATTCAAGTCCGACAAAGAAGACTGATGGATAGTTTAAGAGTCTTGAACTCAGTTAAAAGAAGTAAGAATTAAAATCTTATCCGTTGCATTTGTTTAGTTCTATACCTTATGTCGTAAGGGATTTACTGTAAAGAATGAAAATTTTCTTGTATTGCTAATGGTTTTCTTAAATAGAAAATAAATTACATTCACAGAGATATTTTATACGGATGTTTATTGGAAAATTATTTCACTTTCAGCCATTTGGTAGTTATTTCTGGTTGATTCTTTTAAGTGGTGGGTTGTTCTAACAGTAGAAGTTGCAAAAGATCAGATGTTAGACTTCCAATTTTATTGATTCCATTTTATTTACATGCAACTCGATATGGTTAAAATTAAAGTATGACCACTTGAAAATCAAACAAGGTGTTAGTCGTGCTAGACCTAGCATTCAAAATTTTCGAGTACTCGAATTTACTCTGGTCACATTGATTACTAATTTCTTCGTGATCAATTTTGTGAATGAGTAAAAATAAAAGGACAAATTAGCATTTAATTTTTAAGACCTTACTACATATTTGGCAGGCAACATTAGATCGTAATTGACAAAATTTTAGTTCTTTATATATAGTAATGTTGAGTACAATCCCATAGATTTAATTGATAATACTTTTACTTATTTTTTATCTGTCCATTTGCTTTGTCCAAAGTAAATGGCTCATGTTTATATCCTTGTTTTCCTCTCTTCCACTTTTCTCTTTCCCCTCCATTCCACGAAAAGAAAAAATAATAAGTGGATTCCATGCATGCTTAAAGATTTACGAAAAAACCATCAAAATTTCTATTCATGGATATAAATTCACAACGTACCTAAATATTAATCCATTTACTTCCATTTTTTCTGATTCAATTCAATGTACAGTTTAAGCAATTCTACAACAATGGAGCGTAGAACGCTTACCATGACTGGGGTGGTTTGGGAGAAGAATATGATGAATGTCATTTGCTTTTGCTATCTCGGCTGTCTCCATTAAAAGGATCGACAGCCTTGAGATTGAGGCGGTAGTACTTACGAGATCTTCTTTTGTATTAGGAGGATACGACATGTGGATGGCAGAACCAGGGTACATAAACGAGTGACTCAAGAAGCTGTTTCAAAGTATCTCGAAAGTTTCATTTTTTAAAATGTCACCGGTTACTTCAAATCTTATACGTTAATTATTATAGTAGTATTTAAGCTGACAGGTATTGGATTGAACAGCTACAAAGATTTTCTCAGGGTCACTACTACCAAATTTGTACGAGGAATTTCAAGCCTGATGTTCTTCCTCGCCAAGCTTCTTCTTCCCCTGAAGAACCGAAAAAAGAAAGACAAGCCTGAGGACGATGCCGAGGCTGAGGCTTCACCTGAAGCGCCAATTATGTTCGTTAGGTCAAGGTTAGATGGTGATATAGAGAGCTTTTCTGTGAAAAAGAAAAAGCCAAAAGAACTAATCGGTCCTGATTCAAAACAACGTTTAACTAGAACATTGTCGGGAAAAATAGCATATAGCACAGGTGTTAGTCAATATGCATGCTCTGTCCGAATATTGAACCTGAAAAGGGATAGAACCAAATCAGCCCCTGCCAAATAATAAGGTGTTAGAATCTGTAATGTCACCAGGTGCTTCTGATTCGTTCTTCCTGATAAAGAGTTAGACATTGGAAAGGAGTTTATTGTGAAAGAATCCAATGAAAAAAGAAAGTGGAATAAGCTCAACAATGTGGAGACTAGGAAACAACTTGCAATGGAGGGATTTGAGGTAACTGTTGGATATTCACGGTTTGTGAAGGAAGTGATGGCTTGTGGTAATGTCTCAAGGAGCCTTAATGATGCCAGGAAAGTAAATGTCAATTCATATTAAGAGCTATAGAAATAGCAAGAGAATGGGCACATCTTTCTTGAAGAACATCATGGGAGCCACAAATACCACGAGTGGAAAAGTTGTAGATAAAGAAGGCAAACAGTCTTCACAATCCTCACTGGTACAACTGAC